AGCGAAAAGTCGTCCAGTAAAGTACAATATTGTCCAACACGCTAATTAGCATGCTACGCGCACGCTCGTGTTTATGAGTCAGCATCCCAGTCCACAGCATCCCCAGGTTTCCGCTCACACGTCGTGTGCACTTCTACCCGGTTTACGTGTGTGATCGGCGCCGTCTATCGGGGGTTTTTCCGCCTACCATTCTTCGTTCGTTGATCCGATTTCGTTGAGCAATGGCTTGTCCGGTCGCTCATGTTGTCCTCCATCCATCCACTGTGGGCTTCGGCTGTACTCCACAGCCGTGTCGAGATATTCCTGCGAGTGTTGGAATGATCACGCCTTCGATTTGGTCATCCATCCTATTTTGGCTGCCATGTCTCGCTCATTGGTCCGATCCGGTCGTGCGATGACTCATCCAATCGCACCCGTTGTCCGCCATCCAATCGTTAAGGGGTTGTGGACACGCCTCTTCCCCGCGTTGAGGTACTCCACCGAGTGTTTGAATACTCGCACCTCTGGCTTGACAATCCACCACAATATGTCCACAAGAAGAAAATGGAACAGCTTTATTTTGAGGCAACGGAAGAAAAAAGAATTCCACGTGGTTCGTAAACTTCCTAGTTTAGACTTAGGCATTCAACATCACGAATTATACACTTCACTGCACTCGAATTTGGCGTTACAGGTGTTTGATAACTATTGTTTCATGCGTTTGAAACGTTGGTCGCATTCTGCTCATCCCCATAAACAGCAATACGTCAATGATTCGCTCGGTTGCTTTACTGTCATGTAACCATGAAAGTGAAATAAACGCTTGCTTAGAAATAAGACAGGAAGTAGAGATAAGGTCTAACTTACAACAGAACCTTCATGTCTAAACTCAAACGTTCAACATGTAGGTGCCTACACTTTGCAAATAAACAAACGAACTATTACTGAAATCCTAACGCCTTCCGCGAAGCAGCTTCCTTTCGGCCTTCACTGTCGCGCATCGTTCTTTGCCTTCTGTTCAATGACAACTCCCTCAAGCAACGGCAGTGTTCACTCCACTGACTTATATGCGCAGTCACTCCCTCTAACGTCCCTAACCACAGACTATTTACGTCACGTGGTCTAAACGCGGAGACGAATCCGATCTATAATGACTAACCTACTTGTAGTTGTCCTCACTGTTTTCCTCCGGTTTTACACTGTTTTTTAGTTATATTTATTTGGCTTCTAAGAAGGTTCCATACATACGATTTCGCGTTCAGTATGCCTTTTCTTTTTCTACGCCACTAGATACAACAGAGCCCGTGGAATATCTGTGCATTTTGGCAAGTACTGAGGGGACAACTCGAAAAAGGCATGCAAACTGGTTCACCATACTATCCAAAGAACATTGGTTTCGAATTCCTGAAGGAAAGTGAGTGTACTGTCTGTGTTGACTAATCGCGTGTTCAGTAACCATTGTCCCCTTATCTTGAATTTTATCATTAACCTATGATCCTTTTTGAATGCTGCCTCCGGGAAGCCGACTATTATTCGATGTGCATATGGTGTTACGAATTTTACTGAAGGTGGTGAAGATGTTTCCGCACATACCATACTGTTGTACTCTCCTCCGATTTACTTGTCCAGTTAGCGGCTGGAATATCTTCGTTATTTATTCTCTTCCCTTCCTAATGGTGCTCACAATGAAATGGGATAACTAATCCATGACTGAGGTACGGCGTTTATAAACCCAATATCCATTCCAACCTTCTGTTTGTATACAAATTTATTGGTAGCTTTACTCATAGTGTATAGGTCTGGTACTTTTCCAGTCCGCAGTTAATGTTCAACGAGGCCACTGATGAGCAGTAAGAAATTTGGTTGAAATAAATTGAACATCACTTACGGTTGATCGCAGGTTTGGCATTTCTGCAGACTTTCTGGTCAGCCTCTTCCAAAAAGGCGTACTAGGCTGGCAAGAGCGCAGCTCAAGTTTAATGCTTCTTTTTGGAAGAGGCTAGATTGAGGGCATATATGAATGCGAAAGCCCTGATCAGTTGCGCGTAATGTTCGGTTCATACTTAAGAGGATGCTTCTCTATGAAATCAATGATTTCGTCGTCAAGACTTCCGAAGCCGTTCCCTTTGTCAAACATGTTTATGGAAAGCACACAAAACCCTACATCAATCATGATATTAGTCCAATTGGTTGCTCGGTCGCTGATATTCAAAAATAAATTTCGAATTCTGAGTCAAAACATTTGGTTTCTATGCCTGATTTCGGGTTAACCCAATGGCACTAACGCGGATTACAAATCCCGTGGCCGCAAGTTCGAACTCTGATTACCTTAACCGTTCTTGTCTAGGTCTGGACTACCTGACAGTATCCAGCCCATACGTGACCTAGCACGTTATATGTAGAATTCGGACACTTGATATTTTTACCATCAAGTAACGGTTGTCATCCCTTCTCAACGAGGACATCGGAAACACCACCTGTCTTTTCTTTGTAAAGTTATATTCTTCTATATCTCTCTACTGTTTGCCTATAATGACTTGTTACAACTTGACTCAGTCACACTGGCTACTACTGTTGATTGTCAGTTTGTCTGTTACTATTCCAGATCGTGTGCCCTGTTCGATTTTCTTCAGTCGTGTGAGTTCCAGGAGAGCGCCGGCCCTCTGGATACCAACGAAGTGAATCAGACATTCCCAACCGGAATTCATGGATGCAGAAGCTCACCAGCGGGTATGTTTCAGGCCAGTGATGCAAGCATCCAACAACTGGGCAGTTTTGTTGTCGTTCCGAACTCCTTCGATTGGATTCTACCACGCATCGGTAGCATAGATGAACGCTCCAGGGCGTTAATGAAAATCAGACAGCAGCGGAAACATCGAGCTCAGAGTGTCAGGGAAAATACTGGAACGTTGGGTTCGAACAGTTCAATCGTTGCATCTGCGCAGAGCACCAGCTCACTAGATGAGGACATTCTTTTAGAATGTATTCCGCCTGCTGAAGCCCCAGTATTATCCAGTGCGCCATCACTCGAAGAAGAGAAGACAGCTTTGCAAATTCTGAAGCAAGAGTCCGTGCGTTGGGAGGTAGGTTCGTGGTACTTTCTACAGATAATCTGTCATACAGCGAATGTATTTACGCCTTTGTCCTACGTTCTGGACCCAAAGGTTTGAGCGTACTCTACTTCTTGCAATGAACTCACTCGTATACATTGGCTGCAATTTTTCGATAGTTTGTGTGATGGCATTTGCCGCATTGTTTGTCGTATTGACTGCATTGACCGATCGCCATGTACAGGCTACCTACGCTGATTTCTAACTGAAGAAAACCTTTTCTTAAGCTTATTTCAAAAATCAGTATAACAGCCTACTTCTGTTCCTTTAGCCACGGGCAGATTAAACTTGCTATTTGAATAGGAATCAATACTGGATGACAATTCTAAGGTACTGCTAAATGAGTACATGGAAAATGCACATTGAATTAACCTGAACTGCTCGCAACGATGATTTCGTTCACTATAATCACTAGATTCAGACCTGAACTGTTAGAGTCAAAGGTGAATTCGACCACATAAAAACATTTGACGAATGGTAACATGCATGGCAGTCAGTTGACTCGTTTAGTAAACGATCATCGGATATGAAGCATGAACGCTGAGTTATCCAATAAAAATAAGAAATATCGCAAGGGAGATCGATTTTCTCAGGCCAGGGTCCAACGGCGTTTCAGTGAACTTAAAACCTGCAAGTATAGTGGACTTATGCTCTTCGTTTTCACTTCGATTAATTTATTCTGTAGACTTCTGTCTTTCGTGGTCGAACTTACTGAATATTTCAATTTTGATCTCAAACTGAAAATTAGATGTGGTGCTTTAATATTTTGGAATTGAGGACTTAGTGAGTTACCCGTTATGATGATCAATTTGCAAAAACCAAGACCATACAAATCTCGCTTTTGGGCAGCTTAACGTAGATTAATGTTATTTCTATTGACCACATATTATGTCACCTCAATTATATCGTCCATCAGTGGTTGCGCACGTCCGTACGACAAGCGTGGCATCATTTCGCCCACTGGGTAAGTAATTTGAAGCTTTGTGGTGTTTGCCTGATTGGTGCCTATCCTGACCCTCCTTCTACTCAGCATGATGCCATTTTCGCCGTTTTTGTGCCTCCCTAGCAAACCTAAGCTTCCAAATAAACTCCCGGTGTACTTTGTGGATTGGTAAATCTCTTACGCCTAGTTTGCTGTAGCCGCATTTGCAATCAAATCACATTGGTTCATCGTATATGCTTATGCAATCGTTGTTCATTCGCACCCTACGAAAAGCAGCGTGTTGCTTTATGATAAATCATTCGGGGAGCACAATTCTACAACCTCTGATTCGAGTAGATGTGTGCTACTTTTGTTGATACGCCACAGTCTGATTTGTCTCACACCCAATGGTGAAACTGTATGACTATTGTTTTGCGAATGTTTACGGGATGTTAGTTAATATAAAGTTATTCCTAAGTAATTATGAAAGCGACGGTGTTAAATTATCAAACCACTCTCAGTGCACACGTATTCGTCTTTCGAACGCTTCTGCGCACGACGCATGAATCAAACATGCAGTAAAAGGTCTACCGTGTGACATAATTACGTCGGCCGATCAGCTGGTATGCACCAGCACCTAAGTGCCGCTTGGTTGGAACGATAATTTAGGGGGCTGAACAGGTGGTTTGCTGTCAAACGTAAGCACTCTGTGAAATTTACTTATTTTTAAAATCAGAACCTGTAAGCAACTGGCAATTTTGTATATCGACGATGCTTCACTCATGAAACGAACGCTTCTTCGCACCAGATCAGCCGTTTTCTGAAAGATCTATTTGTACAAGTAAAAGAGGACGATCTTCGATTTACTTTGAACGAGACAAACGCAAAATCTTTTGAACGGCGTGTACTGCAATGAATATTTGTTTGTAGTACTAATAAGTAATTTGGCAGGTTTATGATTTTAGATGAGACCCAATTGTGAAAAGTCAGGGCTTCGGCCGGATTCAAACCAGCGACAGGAACACCATGCCTAAACGCAACAGGCGCTCTGCCAGCTGAGCTACGAAGCCACGTCAGGAACCCAGAAATTTCCCATTTGGACTCGGTTACCCACCATCCCCACTGTTTCATATGGAATCCACCAAATGATCCAGAGAATCGACTGCCCCGGCAGGATTTCTCAAACATTTCACGCTGGATTCCACCAACGCCACTGTTGAGCATAGAAATTGCATTACTAATAGGTAATACTTATTTGATCCAAGATCACTGCTTGCACCGAACATCTTTTTAGGAACCATACGAAAAGCCTCAAGAACAGGCCTCTGACTAAGTTGTTGAAAGACAAGGTCGATTTTCATATAGATTGAACATCACCCACAATTGATCGCAGCTGTCGCATTCCCATAGACTTTCCAGTCGGCCCCTTTCGAAAAGAAGCACTAGA